CCCCATATATCCCTATATATCCCTTGGGTATATGAAGATCATGCAGGGACGATCGAGACGGTCCAGACTTCTGTGGCTGGTGGTTTGGTCCGAAGGCCTCCGCCCCGCCTTGCAGGAGACGTCTGTCATCCTTTTGGGGTTTGTTCACTTATNNCGCAGAGCGGGGTCGGCGGATAATTCAAGTTATTATCACTATTGCGATTATTGTTATTGTTGTTCACTTATCCCTATAAGCCCCTGTGTAGCTCCAGTAACCATTTCATTTTCCACATTTTTCTTCATTTAGTTCTCCATTCCCACACCCTATAGTCCCCTCTAAGTAGATAGAATATGGGGTATATCGGGATCTTATCGTAATATACCAAAGACATATTCTATCTACTCAAGGGAGACTATACACCCTAAACCCTAAACCCTAAACAGTAGTTTTGATTTTGTTTTCCATTATCCCTATATAACTCCAATATAACCCTAATATTCTATTTACTTAAGGGGGACTATGTCCCTAAACCCGAAACCCTAGGTGTTGGTAACGTCGTCCGGCAGGTTGGCGGAGACCAGGTTTGGGCTTACCACTCAGAGAAGGCACCCACGCCGCCTCTCAGCGGGTGGAAGGCCACTGGAGACAAGTCTTTAGGGTTTAGGGTTGAGGGGCTTAGGATTTAGGGTTAAGAGGTAGTACGTAGTAGTTTCCCTAAGCCAAGGGACCCCAGCATAGACCCCAAATACTATGATCCTTCTTATAGGGACCTTTTGAATTGTACCCCTAATTTTGGGAACCCGCCAGAATAACCCCTGTATTATCCCCTATACTATCCCCTATCTAACCCTATATAACCCCCTATACCCATTGTAACCCCTTTCTAATCCCCCACCTTTGGGAAAGGTGCCATACGATGGCCCCGTCGATAATACCTTCATCCTGCAGCCTGCACAAGGCCCGGGATTCTTTGGTTGCTGCGCTTTGAGCAATATGCAGGATATACAGGTTGTATAGGGTTATAGAAGGTTGTATAGGGTTATAGAGGGTTGTATAGGGTTACTTAGGGCATTATATAGGGGTTATGTAGGTGTTATGGTGATATCGGGGTTATATAGGAGTTATGTAGGGGTTATATAGGGGTTATGGCTATTTACGAGTTATATGGGGGTTATATTGCGGTTATGTAGGAGTTATGTAGGGGTTATATAGGTGTTATATAGTGGTTGTATAGGGCTGTTTGCGAGTTATATGGGGGTTATATTGGGGTTATAGAGGACTTATGTAGGGTTGTATAGGGGTTACATGGGGGTTCTATAGGGGACAATATTGGGGTTATTTTGGGTTTTACAGGGATAATGGACAAGACACAAACTCCGATATTCTTGACATGTGCCAGGCTATCCTAAGCAGCAGCCTGCAGGGTCTCTTGGCCTGGAAAGCAGTCTGTGTGTCAAATGACGACGGACCTGATGCCAGCTACTATGACATGTCAACAACTGCGGCTGAAGGTATCCTCCACCTTACGGCCAGCCGGCAATGGACCTAATTTGCAACTGCGCCGCGGGAGCATTACAGGAATTGCAGCGACTAAGGCACCCGGAATGCCGCAGCTGCATGCTCAGCCGTGCGCAGCAAAATTAAGTCGCCTATGCTATCTATGCGTGATTTCCTGATTTGTTTTCCACGGAGGCCAGTCGCCTATGGCTATAGCGCACCGCCTGCTCCGGTCACAGTACCGTGACATGCAGCATTGCCACGTATTGCAACCGCAGCTTATTGAAAGAGCTCGTGCCAAGGCTTATGGCATGCCCCCCGCCTACGGGCCCGTGCCTGAATCATTTCAGAACGGATTCCTGTTGTAACAGACAGGCGCGGACTATCCATTCATCAAAGTGGTGTCTGAATTTGAGGTACGGAGGACCTACAGCATATGAGCAGGCCGGATGGAATGCGTCAAATAAGCCGGCTCACTCGATTGGCACTGCGTCAAGGCACCCGACAGGGCAAGACAGGACGAGCGCCGAAGGGACGAGGCAAGCAAGCTGAAAACTGCTCGCTTACGAGAGTTTGCAGTCAGTGGTGCAGTTCTTTTGCTGCTTTCCTTCGGCACAGTACATCACATTGAGCCTTCTTTCAGAGTTTGGATGCCATGCCAAGCAAATCAGAAAAGTGTTCCAGTGGTTGACTTGGTTCTTATCCCTTTATCCCTTAAACCCTATATAACCAATTCTAGTAATTTCCATTTTCTTCTCCATTATCCCCATATAACCCCAATATAACCCCAACATTATAGTAGTTTCCATGTTATTTTCCATTATCCCCATACGTTTCCAATATATCCCCTATAATCCCTATACAAGCCTTATATAATCCCCATAATCCCTATAGTTCCCTATATCCTCATATGGGTGGTTGTCAAAATCATGGTCAGTTTTTGGATCCCTATTATAATACGGCCTCTAATATTTCGGGTACCCAAAAAGGGACCATAATTTTGATAACCACCCATATAACCAATATACAGTTCTCCACATGCTGGTGGCTGTCAGGATGATAGGGCCAACAGGCGGAAGAAAGATGAGGCCCACGGATGGCAGCAACTACTATAATATTGGGGTTATATTGGGGCTATATAGTAGGGTTTAGGGTTTAGGGTGTAGGGTTTAGGGTTAGGGATAATGGAAAAGAAAATGGAAACTACTATAATATTGGGGTTATATGGTAATTTCCCAAAATTAGGGGTACCATTTTGGGGGTCCCTATAATAAGGACTATAGTATTTTGGGGTCTATATTAGGGTCCCCCTATTTTGGGAAATTACCATATTGGAGCTATATAGGGATAATGGAAAAGAAAATGGAAACTATTCTAATATTGGGGTTATATTGGGGCTATATAGGGATAATGGAAAAGAAAATGGAAACTATTATAATATTGGGGTTATTT